GAATGGCAGTCCAGATTGCAGGATGAATGGGCAGCAGACATGGCTGGGATGTCTGACCACGCCCTGTGGCATGACACAGGTAGGCTAAGCAATTTTACTGATGCTAGCTTTGGGAAACAGGGTAAAGCAATCATATTTCATTTTCCATAAGTGCAACTGAGTAAGCATTTAAAAAATAAAAATAAATAAGGAGTTGATGGAGTTTTTTTCAAATAAAGTTTGTATAAAGAGAATATAAGGAGCTTGTCATGAAGTCTAAATATCATCTTCTTTGGCTGGTAATCGAACCAAGGCCCTGCTGCCTAGTAGTGCAGATGCCTTAGGAACTGAGCATCAAACTTTCCTTGGTTGTTAAATAAAGTCTCACTGTAACATTTGATGTTTGGAATGCCTCGGATATGTTACAGATATTTGTATTTTCAAAATTGTCTTTTTGATGTAATTTGTTCAGGTTACACTGGGTTAAATCAGGAGTCATTCGATGACTGGGCGACCAGAATAGCAGCGGAGCAGAGACAGAAACAGCAGCAGCGATACCAGGGGCATCAGCCATCACGTAGCAGTCACAGCAGAGAGGATGCCCAAGACAGAGAACGGAGGCAAGAGGAGAAACGCAACTTCCAAAGGAAACTGGAAGAAGAGCACGCGAGGTATCAGAGGAGACACTCAGAACGACTCCGGCAGAAACTCCTGAGGCAGAAGGCTGAGCATCTACAGCGATGTGCCGAGGTGTTCAGTGCAGAGAGTCAGGAGTTGAGTCAGCTGGGATTGGAGGATGTGCCCTGGCCGGGTCACCATGGCAACCCGGACAAGATGATCCAGGTGCTGACATGTGACATTAACCGCGAGGATGCTGCAGAGCTGAGGAGGTTTGTACGCTCCCAGCAGCTGCTGTGGCATCCGGACAAATTCCTGCAGAAATGTGGCAGCAGGTTGGTGGAGAGAGACAGGGATAAGATCATGGAGAGGGTCACCCAGCTATCACAGGCACTCAACCAGTTAGGAGAGGAGGAGAAATCGGATTGATCCCACCTTGAATCAAACCGTGTGCAATTCAGACTGTAGTACCTTTCTACCAGTGCAATCAATGTGGTTTGGGCCATGGACCGAGACCTTGTCTTGATCCCAAGCTTCTGCTTTTGATACTTGCTCCAGGATTTCAGGTGCCTGTTTTTGGACATTAGGGGCTCCATTTCCCCTTGAACATCAATTGGAGCCCAATTTGTGGTGTTTCACTGCTTGAAACATCAACCCCTTTAAAGAGACTTTTTGTACACTCTCAGAGGAATGGATTGACTGGTTGCATTGTAAGACTTTCTTGGTGAACATGGCTTTTGTTAAATGTTTGCTGCACATAATAGGCCCAACTTTGAATGAAGGACTTGTCAGCCTTTTTGAGATACGGCGGACACAATTTGAGGGCGCTATTTGGAGCCTGTGAGTTTGGGTAAAGGTTAATGAGTGTACTCCCTCAGAATAGCGCCCTCATAATCTCAAGAAGGCTAACTGTAGTCAATTATATTGTACAAAAGACGCTGATGGAAAAAAAACTACATACTTCTCCAAGATACCTTCACTAAATCAAAGCCAGAATTTAAGTTTAAACATCCACCTCTTTGTTTCCAGGAGCACAATAATTCACTCCTTTGTGACATTTTTATCAAAAAATTTATCTATAACAGTTTTATGCAAAAGAAAATATGCAAGTTGATTCAAAAGTCATCTAATGCCGTCAGTGCTCCATTATGTTTGAATTACACTAACATTGTAGATAAATTATGAAAAGAATAAATGTCTGATAAAAATGCATTGTAATGGAACGTTCTTTGTGTCATTTTCACTTTGTTGGTTCGTCTCAAGTTTAATATGATATTTGTGAATGTAGCATATCCATTTCAAATTATTATGAGCATTAAAAATGAAATAAAAACAGTTTGGGAAGTGGTTGTAGCTCTGTACTTGATGAAGCCACATGGACAATTTTTTTTTCAGTTGTGCACAAATGTAGGCACTTTTTTACTACATAAATAATGGGTTTTTTTTTCAAAAGCAGCCACGAGCTGTCGTTTCTAAAAGACCACTCCTTTATTTTCAAGAAAACAACTCCATCGCCCCCAGCGGTACGCGCAGTAATATTTACCGCTAGGGGCGACAAGAAAGGTCGCCCCTAGCGGAAGTTCCTCTGGGGGCGACAATAACGGTCGCCCCCAGCCGTACAAGCATTAATATATACCGCTATGGGCGACAATATCGGTCGCCCCCAGCGGTATACCGCTAGGGGCGACAATAATGGTCGCCCCCAGCAGTACGCGCGTTAATATATACCGCTAGGGGCGACAAGAAAGGTCGCCCCTAGCGGAATTTCCTCTGGGAGCGACAATAACGGTCGCCCCCAGCCGTACAAGCGTTAATATAAACCGCTAGGGGCGACAATAATGGTCGCCCCCAGCGGTATATCGCTAGGGGCGACAATAATGGTCGCCCCCAGCGGTACGCGCGTTAATATATACCACTAGGGGCGACAAGAAAGGTCGCCCCTAGCGGAATTTCCTCTGGGGGCGACAATAATGGTCGCCCCCAGCGGTACGCGCGTTAATATATACCGCTAGGGGCGACAAGAAAGGTCGCCCCTAGCGGAATTTCCTCTGGGGGCGACAATAACGGTCGCCCCCAGCCGTACAAGCGTTAATATAAACCGCTAGGGGCGACAATAGTGGTCGCCCCCAGCGGGCCGCGGTACGCGCGTTAATATATACAGCGCCACCATCGATTTAAACGGGTAAAACGTTAGTTTGCTTCGAAATCTAAATATTCATTTATTCAAATTGGTGCTGAAAAGGCCAAGCCCTGGGACTGCAAAAGCTGAATGAAATGGCGTCTCCAGCTAATACCACACACCACGTGCTTCTTACGCCGGGTACTAGGCTTGTTTACAGGCGTTTTGCCTATCTCCTTGCGAAGCGCACGTGCATAGACTAAGCTAACAAAACAAGAACACCGGTTCGACGGATGCAAGAAAGTCTATTTTCTTTGTTAATTTTCTTTGTTGAATCTGGCGTTAACAATAAAATGATTCCATTGAGGCGAAAGGATTAAACGCCGCTATCTTTTTCCACGCTTGAGTGCATCTGAATGGGTGTTTTTCAAGCGGAAAATCACGAAATACAGCTCTTATACAGCATTTCAACCTACAAAATGATACTTTTTGCAGAGGAAATTGAATACTGAACAAAACTGTAGTTTCAGAATGTAAAAATTCGCCGTATTAAGGAAATCGATGTCGAATTTTTTGGTTGTGCCAAGCAAAAACTTTCCGATCTCCAACGTAGGTGGCGCTATATATATTTCATCGACAGTGCTGTCACTGAGCCAAACAAGTTATACACCCACAAATTAGTTGAGGAGGGACACTGTCTTTTTTATGGAGGGGGAGGGGGGGGGAGGGGAAGGGGTTAAACACCAGATATAATACAGACATCAATTCATAAATTATTTGTTTCTGAAGCAACCATGACCCCATATTGATCAAGAGTCTCACTAGTTATTCAGGATCTACAATATTCTGAATTGGTAATGAGGCCGCGTTTTTTCAAACACCTCTATGATGCACGTGTAGTATAATATGCCGAATACTGCAGTTTGCTTCATAAATAGGCTACATAATTGAATGCACTTAATTTCTATTTTATATATATCCCCCTCATACCCACCCCCCCCCCCCTCCGTCCAAACAAAATACAGTTTTGTAACCCCCCCCCCCCTCCCTCCCACTTATCAACTCCGCCATACCGTGATCACGGGTCGCCGGTCCCAAGCCAACCCACATGTTCCCTTACGCGCGCACAAAACTGATAAAATAACTATCAATAATAATAGTGTTACATTAATTCTCAAACAATATTTCTGTAATGCCAATAGGTCTGTCACGGTACTCTCAATACGTCTGTACCCTTCCCCCCTTCCCCCCAAAGAACCCGCCGACCCCGCCCCTTCCCGAGGTAAAAGTATGCTGTGGCAATTGCCAGTTTGATTTTCTCTGACACACGTGTGAATGAAAAATGTTTAGCGCCACCTACGTTGGAAAGTGGAAAGTTTTTGCTTGGCACAACCAAAAAATTCGACATCGATTTGCTTAATACGGCGAATTTTTGCATTTTGAAACTACAGTTTTGTTCAGAATGCAATTTCCTCTGCAAAAAGTATCGTTCTGTAGGTTAAAATGCTGTATAAGAGCTGTATTTCGTGATTTTCCGCTTGAAAAACACCCATTCAGATGCACTCAAGCGTGGAAAAAGATAGCGGCGTTTAATCCTTTCGCCTCAATGGAAACATTTTATTGTTAACGCCAAATTCAACAAAGGAAATTAACAAAAGAAATGGCCTTCCTTGCATCCGTTGAACGCGTGTGCTTAATACCAAAAACCAAGGATTGTACCAGATTGAGTTCATTTCTTTCCACATTTTCGCTTCAATTTGCGCTTTTTACTCTTTCCCAATCAAATTGTAGTCGCCAAAAATAAGCAATATTTCCTACAATCTCTAAATCAAATGCATAATTGTATCGTCAAACTTGAGTTTGCGTCTACGCCCACGTGGGTTCCACGTGTAAAGCCCACACGTTTCTTTCTTTACCTTAAAGCCAAATAAAAAGCACTTGAAAATGTCGGAATCACTTGTAGCTTTGCGGTAAGGCGCGGGGACACGTGATCCAGGGGCCGGGGTTCGATTCCCATTGATGCATTTAATAAGTGGTTTTTTTTATTATTACTTCTACAATACAGATAAAGGAACTGAAAATTCGAACCTCATTATTCATACAAGAAATTTTGTTCATAAGATATTATTGGAATTACCGAATAAAGGGGATCTCATATTCAATTTTGTCAACATAAGTGGAATATTCTAATCCATTATTTTGGTCAGGTTAAGACTGAGCAGGAAAGAATAAGTTATATTAGATTTTAACTCAACTCGATAAAGAATTGACCGTACACTCAGAATGCACTACACAAGTTTTCTGTTTTATTACAAATTAAAGGTCCAAGAAAGAATCTTTTAAATATTCTGGTTTTATCTTTGTTAAAACTATCAAAATTCGAACCTCACTGAAAATTCAAATCTCAAAACTATCAAAAGCTAAAAGTTAAGATCTTCAGTTCACTTTGTTCATTTTTGAGACTGAAATAGTACTGCATTAAGTCACCAAAAGGAACATAAAATAGTTTTCTTTCATGTGCACAATTTTCTGTTGATTTAGTACATCTACATGTACATGTACAATATCTTTAGTATAGAGGTTATATCAATAGTTTAAAGGCCTGAACACCAAAACTAATTTAAATTCTTTAAATGGTAACAATTTATTAAATATTTACATCTGTGAATGGTTTTTAGATTATGCATTAGGAAAATAGAGTTTATTTTCTATATCATAATTTCTTTACAAATATTATTAAATCATTTGAAATATATTGATGAATTGAAAGACAATGTGCAGTACGACATACAAAAAAGTAACAAAAACAGTGGCCCATACAATATTTCATTCACATTCTGTTACAAACCTAAGACTGAACCACTATCCCCAAGTAAATCTGAACCGAGTGATGCCAATCAGTAGTAATTTTTGTAATTACACTTTTAGAACTTGAATCTTAACTTGTGACCTGTTAATAAAACAGATGAACTAAGAATCAACTTTTTCTTGTCACTTCACCACAGGAATTCCACAATCCAAATTAACCTTAATAACCAATACTTTGGAATTTCAGTATAAGTACATAATGTGACAGATCAATGATATCACTTTCTGTCTCTTCGGTTTCAGTTTTTTTCAGCTGGAATATTTCATGTGATATCCAAAAATGCCCAATTTCAGTACTATCAACTACGACAATGTATGTAATACTTTGAAAAAAATATATATTTCAAGAAAAGGGATATTTCAAGTGAAAATTAAAATGGGTTAGAATAGCATAAAATTGCAGATGATCACTTAAGGACAGTTTTTTTCAGATGTTGGAAAAGAAAATGAAGGAGTGGGGGATATTTCAATTAACCGTTTAGCCCTTGTACCGCCCCAAACTGCCCTGCCTGTTACTCCTCAAACCGCCCCAAACCGCCCAGCACTCTATGGTTGTATGGATTCATGCAGTATATACAATGTAATACAATTGTTAAAGGGTTAAGTGCTAATGGGGTGAAATGGTCTAATAATACAATTAATGACTTTAGGACGTTTTTGTTTATGATTTTGGAAAAGTAAAGAAAAGGTAGGGGAGAAGGGAGGGGGCTGGAGGGGGGGTGGGGATGGGTATGGTCTTGAATCCTGCCTACTTCTTGCCTTTCCTTGGCTTCATATTGGCTGGTATGCTCGGCACCGGTGGTTCTGGCTTGGGTACCAGTTGACCCTTAGCTATCAGGCTAGCGTATACCTCTCTGCACACAAACAAAACAAGATTGAGAGTTGAATAGCTATGACATACAAAAGTCATCAGAAATATCTCACTTTATAAAGTCAAACAGTTAAAAAAAAAAGTATCTCTATTAAATATCTCTTAAATAATTGCCACACTGTAAGACTTTTAAGTTAGCTACCTGCATTTGTTGAGCAATTTTTGTATTTGCTTGGCGCATTCTATGCAACTTTTTGTGTGGATTGTAATGGATTTAGGGCAGTAAGGGTCGATGCTTAACAGGCACAACATATTACGTACTTACCGGAGTTTTTCACCAATTTCGTCAAATGTTTTCGGCACGACAGCCCCAGCTTCTGCAAGAGCTTGGTTTTTAGCAGCAGCTGTTTCCAAGGCAACATCGTTGCCTGCTCCTGAGTGGCCAAAATAACCCGGCTGGAAAAAAAAAATCAAATATAAAAATAGTTAAACAATTTTTGGAACATCTACCCCCCCCCCCACACAAAAAAAATCCTAAGTTTCGTTGCAAAATGTGCAATTCCATTTCATCCATGCTTGTATTCTCTGAAGATCTTTAAACAAATTTTATCACGAGAAAATATAAAGAAATTACTGGTTACAACTACAACTCAAAAACATCTGTATAAAACAGCAATTTTTGGATCACATTTTAGGCACCACATAGCTCTTTGTTAGATGAGCAAAGAGAAACATCCTGGGTTGAAACTGTATTATTGTGACTTACTTCTGATTTGAACATGTCGGCACACTCGCCAATGCAGAAGGCAACCATTGGTTTACTGAGTTTGCCGCTACATAGAGCTTCACATATGTCATACTCCTCACTTCCACCAAACTATTAGAACCAAACACAACAAATGACAAAGTAAGAAAATAATCAACACGGATGGGATGGTTGAGTTGGGAAAAAACTAGTTAGGAAAATATGGCAACTCTGTGAAAAGGATCTGTTAAGGCTTAAAAGTGGAGGACGTATCAAACAAATAGTATCCAGTTTTAAAAATCAATCACAAGACAATCTCAAGTCAAGTGGCATGCTATTCAGCTGTGACAAATGCATTCCTTTGTCTTTGTTTACACCTGTTATTTGTGATGTGACCTGTGACCTGACATGTGACAAGTCAGGTGACAAGTCAGGTGACCTGACTTGTGACCTGACTTGTCACCACAGACTTGTGACCGGACTTGTGACCTGACCTGTGATCTGAATTGTCACTGGACTTGTCACCTGATTTGTAACCTGACTTGTCACCTGACTTGTCACCTGACTTGTCAGTGATTGGATTACAACTCTGAAATGATAAAACATGAGAAAGCACACCTCTCCAAGCAGCAGCAAGATCTTGACGTCTGGGTTTGCCTGCATAGACATCAAATGATCCATGAACGAGGAACCAGTGCACCTACAAACAACAAGACAAAAAAATCTTAGACACTTTCTCCCCTGGCACAAGAATGTATACTAAAGTTGTTGTAAATTGGTGTTGAAATAATCTCCATCACTTTAATATGACACAATATACGCTTCCCCCACCATTCTGATCACACGACTTTACTTCAATGTGTGATAAAGTCTGTGCCATACTGTGTCATAATGTGGCAACAGTGTCATGGAGGTGATGACATTTTCCAAGCACAAACAATATCTGCTTAACCAACACAGGGTACTAACCAAAAAGTAATGTGATGCATATTGCTTTTAACTGCTTCTTGACCGATTGCCGACATAAATTTGTTAAGCAATGTATTCTTCCTAGCGGCTTCGGTGTCAATGTGGCCCAGGTCATTATATGGACTACATCACCAAACCAGTGTCACAGGGAAAACTGTTCACGGTTGCCAACTTACTTTCCGCCACCCAGCGACACGCCCTGATACAGCCCATCTGTGTTCCTAGCGATGTAGATGATCAGCTCCATACTCAGCCCACCAGACCGTGTCACCACGCCCACACTGCCAGGCCGATACAGCCGCAATGAGACCAGGTCATCTAACGAACCACCGATGGTACCAAACTTGTTGCAGCGGAAACTGCCGGGCTTGATGAAGTTAACTTGCATGAGGTGTACGGGCTGTAAGGGGAAAAAAGGTAGCAGGGACAAATTACTTGCTGGATAGACAATTTTGAGTTAGGTTTGGAAGAATCTAAGTGTTGTTTAGAAGAGTGATTTGTCTTTAAGAGGTATTTTGGATGGATTGATTTTCTCAAAAAAAGAAAGAAACATCTTCTTCTAATTCCCATTTCCTGACAGGCTTACCGTGCAGGGTCCAACGATCAAGACTCCGTTGTTGTGGGCCATCTGAACTAAAGTTCTTGTTTGTCGGTCTGGGATGTGGCCTGCTATCATCAGAATGCAACGAATCTGACAACAAATGGATAGTATAAAGTTAAAGATGATTTGTGAATTTGTGAACGATTAAACAAATTTGGGCCGAGAGTGAGGAGGGCAATTGACAGGGAGAAGGCAAAAGGAGGAAAGAGAAGTGGTGGTGGGGGAGCGGTTGAGGGGGGGGGGGGACAAGCACTCACAAATATATTACCCCTGACCATCAAGCTTATTTTTCTTTTCTGAAATTATCACAGCACCTAATTTCAAATGTGGAACCAATGACTGTGATAGTTTGTGATTACCTTCAAAAAATGAGAGAATCCCAAAATTCCAATGATATTATCAATCTCCACTGATTTATCTTTGAAAGAGTGATCAATCCTGGTAAACTATCCAGCTAATGGACACACGCATTGTCACTACTGACTGGAGAACTGTCTTCACACATACGTTAGGACAGGCAAAGCTTGTATTAATTGTTATAAGCCTTGATATTTCTACTTTCCCTACAGTCTGATGGGCCTTATTCTCAAGCACACGGGATTAACTCAATGCACAAGGGAATCACCAAGCTCAACATAAAGCAATCCAAGCTGAGACTGAACCTTCCCAATCTTACAAAACCCTCCAAAACCTGGTGGATTATGAAGGATATGGACGATTAGAATCAAGGCTAGAAACGTGGACCATATATGAATGAACTGAGTTGTATATAGGAACTTACATGTCTACACTTGACAGCCAGCATAGCACAGTGATACGCATCTCTGCCTGGGGCACCATTGACCACTACGGTAGCATCGGTGTGATTACTCATTGCTGTCTCTAAGCTGCTGTACACTGTCCATCAAAAATACATTGAAAAAACTTCAATTTTTGAGACGTTTTAAAGTTGAACAAAGAAATTGACTGGAGCGGGGTTTGAACCTACGACCTCCAGATTGCCGTTCCAGTGCTCTACCAACTGAGCTATCCAGCCCTATGTTGGCGGTTCTCTTTTTAGTAGTTTATTTAAAAATACAAGCCTCAAGGTTCAACTTGCTGCACGATGCTTTCTGCAGTGCTTTTAATTTTTATGAATGGTAAACTTTGGAAGGATAGTAACGAAATCAGAAAATCAGAAACTGAGAAAAAGTTGCAGTCTTGCCACTGAGATAACCCATCAAATTTGAAAACTAAAGAATTTAACATTTGATCTACCTTGAATGTTGACTTGACCTTCGGCCCACAAGAAACTTTCTTCCTTGTCTTCGCTCCTAGGAAAAACAAAATAATGTTAACAAATAATTTGAAAGTAATTGATGAAGTTAGTCAATCTTGAAAATATTTCTCGCTTGTGGTGGTGACTCTGTGGTGTGGGAATTTCAATGAATGAACTACACGACAGATTTGATCAAGGTGAAGCAGATTTTTGTTGGCACTATATTTGAATGGAAATGACATTTAAAATAACAATGATTCAAACACTGTCATTTCTGGAATGCAAAATCAAGGGCTATAAACAATAAATTTGTGATGTACTTACCCCCCTGGATTCACGATGGCAGCAACTGACGGTGTTTTCCGACCGCAGACGAAGTCAAAGTCCAGCATGGCCTGTACAGCCTGAGTCATTAGCCCAACGACTATTACCTGTATCAAAAAAAAAATGCAAAATCATCGATCGTCCTGAGATTGAAATCGTGGTCTGCCCAGCATGATTCTACGATTCAAACAGCCCCTGCTCCCCTCATACAGAGCAGCTTAAAACATAACGAACTTGATACCCCTCGTTAAGGTCAATCAATCAAACTATAGTTGTACATACCTTTGTGTCTCCATTGAAGATTTCATCAAGGTTGTTCTTGGCAATGACTTCATGGGATTCTGCTTGCTGTTGTGAAATAAATAAATGAAAATCATCAAGCACAACTGATATAACATGGTTGAATGTGCAAGATAACCACTAAATGATCAAATTTCTTATTCCACAATCTTAAAACTTGGGACAACTACTGCCCTGGGAATGACAAATGGATATGAAATTGAGATGCCTCAGAATTTGTAGTTATGCTTAGATCAACAGCTGCCACAATGCTGTAGATATAACAGGTGTCTCATGAGAGTGCAATAAACTAATTAAAAGGGCATCAAAAAAGTACTTTTTTTTCCAAGAGCTATATCAGACAAACTTGAAATTCCCTGATGAGGTTCAGCATTCAAAGGCATATAACATAAGATACAGACATCAACACAACAAACAGACAACTTGAAAGAGAGACAAACTGAGAGACAGAGAATTCAAATTGAGGACAGCTCAGATGAATCAAGAATGACATCCAAACTGACCTGGTTCATTGGTTGGCATATCTTATCTGTATCATCGACGCCAGTCTCGACATCACGCAGCCCGAGTGCACACTGTATGAGGTGTGTCATGGGTACCGCAATGGAGAAGATATGGACAGGCAGGCCTAGGAGTCAGGAAACAAGACAAGTGCAGTTCGTTATTAGTGAACAAACAAAATGAGAAAAATGACAGACTGTGTAGGCTGAGGTGGGACAGTAACTGAAGAAAGAACAGTGTACCGACTCACCAAGTTCAGTTAGAGCTGATGGTATCTGTCCCTTAGGCACTGTTGCTAACGTAGCCCGACGCATTAACAGGGAGATTTTGTGGGTTTTGAGTTTCTCTTTGCACTCCTGCAGAGCTCTCATTAGTCCCTAGAGAAAGCAGAAAGAGGGGGAAACATAAGAATGGACTGTAAACAGAAACAGAATTGAGGAAAGTAGACTCGACTACAAAGGACACATTTACACTGAGCTATATCTAACATTGCAATCTATAAGGTTTGTGTTGGAAAAATTAGGCTGATAATTTCTGCAACAATTTCTTTAGAAAATCACATAAGGCAGGCAAAAAAGCAAAGTCTGATCAATGTGTGAGGGACAAAGGTTAAAAATGTTACGACTATGAACTCTGCTGTGTAAGAACGGTCGAGTATGCTAGTTATGCAAAGCAAATGAAAATGGGAAAATGAGTAAAAAAAAAAAAAAAAGCTATTGCTAGCTACAGCTCTGTACATACAAAAGTTTATATCATGCTGACCACACCCCTTTTTTCTGGGGGGGGGGGGGGGGGGGGGAGAGAAGGGGACAATGGATTCAATTTAATAAATGCCTCACCTGCATGGGTCCAACCTTGAGTTTGATCATCATGATCATATCAGCGACGTTGCTGCTCAGGATGAACGTCTTGCCCTCAGGGTGTGGCACTTCCACCATCAAATCGATCAACGTCTTGGTGAATTCGTACATCTGGTCTGCGGATGGGCGGCCAGAAAACTGGGTGTAGCAGGCTACCTCGTCTCGCACACCTAGCTCTGCTGCTGTGTCACTGAGGAGGAACGGCCAAATGAAGGAAGTATCAGGATTAACACTAGTGAGTTTTGCAAGTTCCTTTACCCAAAGTCAAGACACTTTTTCAAGAAACCTTCCTCAACCCTAAAAAATCCTCCACTGTTCAGGAACCAAATGCAACATTCTTTGTACTTCAACTTTTAAGGGGTACCACGCCCCAGGTAAAGCAATAGAGGACGAGCTCTACCGTCCTCAATCCCACAAAATCCTCCAAAACCTCCTGATGGATTTCTAATGATCTAGTTGGGTTCGGTTTAATGGGAGACATTTGAGACTTTTTGCAATTGTATGCATGATGTTTAAGCTAATATCCGCACATTCAAAATGATGAAAACAATAGAAAAGGACCGTTGTGTTTGCTGCCACCATTCTCAAAAGTCTCCCGTTCTCATGACGTTGGGAAGTTACTTATGCTGGCTTGGCATAAATTTTCTGTGAAACATTTACTTCTCAAACTTTCCATTGTGAGGAAAAAACAAGGTGTAAATTATATTGGAAATCGCAAAAAAAATACTAAGGTTTACCGCTGAAGAAAAATTCTGTTTCAAAAGGTCAGTTTAATTAATTTGATTTGTGATACACTAAAATGGGAAATCCTAGGTCTGTGATAGGCAAACAGGTGGGTAGATTGTGGTTGATTTACCTCATGACCAGAGAGGTCCCACCACCGGCTATCAGACTCCAGATTCTACCAGCTTTGTTAAGAATTGTCAGATTCATAGAGCATGGTGTGCCGGCAGCAAGTTGGGCAATACGCAGCTCCTAAAATCACAACAAAAGAAAACAGCATATCAAATGTGCAGCTTGACAAATATAATAATCCAAAACTCAACACAAAGTATGGAAAACTATCTTCAATTTCTTGAAATAAAATCAGAAACGTAAAGAGTACACACCTCAGGATGCAGGTCTCGGCACAGCGACGGCGCAAATTGAATTCCGTCCCATAATTCCTTGCACAGGGGCGCGGCCTTGGAGTCCACTTTGGCTGCGACGTCCAGGATGTGGATTTCAGAATCTGTGACCACTGTGTGCAAAATAAGGTGCAAGACAACTACTGTCAATAGCTTGTAGTGCTTTCTCTGCTGGGGTTAGTCTAATAGTAGCAAGCCAAAAGTGGAATTTTTGTGGCACGGTTGGAAATTTTGAGAAAGAGCTTGAATTTTCCGTGTGAAGAATTTTCTGGATGGAACTGGAACCAAACTTTCTAAATTTCAGGAAAAAGGCCATTCAGAAGAAGACTACATTTCACAAAGGTTGACTTCTGGCTGATTGTGGACTACTGTACATACCCAATGGATTGAGCTCCAGATATGTAAAGTGTAAATCTCTGAAACACTTGATGAGAGACTGGATGAAACTGCACAACATCCTTAAATGCAGGAAAACACAAAATTGTTTTCAAGATTAGAACAAGCGGTGTATTACTACCTATTACCTCGAAATGAAATAAGATCTTGCAAAACATAAATGAATACCTACATGAATTGTGGGGGCTAAACATAACTACACTTGCATATAAGGGAGGATAATTCTTTGATTACTTGAAATGTTCGGACTGATAACATCTCGATCTCGCTAAGAGTATCTCTTGGCTGTGAAATTTTGGCATCAATAGTAATCTGCATTAAGTTTTTGTACTCTATAAGAAATAACCATACAAAAGCTCAGAAAGAGACACAGACCTAAGTTTATTCAAATTTGCATCCCTCTCCTAATGAGAGAAAGAAAATATGACAACAGTTTACAATATCAACTGAAAGACGATTCACATTGGCTGTTTTGCGGCTAGGACTATACTGTTGAGTCAAGGAATATCTGTAGCTGAAAAAAACCCAATTCTAAACAAGCCACACTGTCTTTGAGACAATAAGTTCCTTAGTTTACTCACTGTGTCTTTGTGTTTTGAACATTCTTCAGCAGTGTTTCTTGAATTGTCTGTTGCTGGGGCATTTCCTCCAATCCCACATACAAATGGTCAGCCTATCATTATAAGAGAACAACAAAAAACACACCATAGTTAGCTTTTCAAAACTTTGTTGGGGTTGAGATCAAGTACTGTATTCCACCCAGGCCAACATGTGGATAACGCTTTTACGTCCTTACTTGACTCCGTTGGTTGCCCTGGAATTTTGTTTCGGGATTTTCTCCCATTTCAAAAGTAGATCTTCTCCATCTAATCAATCGATGTGCAATTTTTGGAAAACCTAGCTTTATTACCTGAAGAAATTAAGTAATAAAATACCTCCTCATCCACATTTCCCACATCCACCCCTCCTTTGGAATGGAACAGCACAGCATCATGGGATTCTGTGTGACAGTAGATGCACAGGTAGGACTCTTCATTTTCTTGATGGGGGAGGTAAGGCTCAATCAGAAATTGCTTGAGGGTGCCCTCAACGCCATCCACCTATAAACAGAGGTCAGGAAAATGCAAGTAGAAAACCACGGAAAACAACAAATGCACGAGTCGGAAGTTAAAACTACACTGTCGCGAATAGAACAAATCCAGAATGCTGCAGGTGTTTTGTTTAAGTAAGCACATTTCAAGGTAATGTTTTGTATTATTTATGGCAAGGATCAACATTCTTAACGATGATTCAATTGTAAGTAAACCATTTGGACTCCAATTTTTTCATTTCTCAAAACATGTCCACACCTTTAATCAGAAAATGTAAGGGGAAAAGCTTTCTTTAAAACGGAATGAAGTTTCCTTGAATGGGACTCGAAACTTGACTAGTGAAATACTCAGGGTCTCAACTTTGCATCCAAGTAAATGTTGGAAAAGAAATAAAGAGTCAATAAAGTTGGTTTGATTTTGTCCCCCACCTTTTTCTTCATTTGAAGTGTTGGGCACTATCCCTAACTTCCACCTCTAGACTAGAGCGATCAATCTTACTACTTGAGGACTTTCTTACCTTCACCTTGGATCCCAATTTCTCCTGGATCCAGAGTTTTGCCGTGTCAAAGTCCACATTGAGCTGGATCAGGCCCAAGTGTTTTCTTCGCTTGATGGATTGATCAGGCTTGACTACCAAACCAGACTGCAATGAATCAAGACAGAAACTGTGATCACAATGGAGCCGTGCACAAGTTGCTCCTCACTCAGTCAAACTGTTGGAGGGACTTGAATGCGTTTCCACTGTAAGCCTGATCCTCATTTCACGGCTCTGCTTAATGTATAGTGAAATGTTTGTTACTGTAGCAGACAATTCTGTGCTTACGGTTGGCACTTGTCACAGGTTATCGAGGAATTTAGACTTGTGGGCGCATGAGTACGGTAACAGGGTTAGTGCAGATATTTTCTGCTGGTGCTGTTTTTAGCCACAGAATGGTTTTCGTAAGCACAGAATTCTGTTGCAAATGTAGGGGGAGCCGGGAGGTGCAAACTTTACCCTAGTTCAAAAATTTGGGACTCTCATTCTAAATTTCACAACTTCACCCAAGCTATTTTTTCTAGCCATGCTAGCTTTTGCTCTAGATGGCAAATTGATCATGATGATGATCAACTTCAGCACGGACTTTGTCTATGGATTAGAATGCTTTCTAAACTTCAATACCGTCATGACGGTAGAACTATGTCTGTGTTCACGTACAATAATTTTGTTTCAATTTTTTTGGCCCCAAGCCCTAGCTGGAGTTTACCCAGGGAAAGATTCCCATATCTGGCCATCACTTGTCAAAATTTTTAAGTGTTTTCTCAGTAAAAATTGAAAATTTGTCACTGCTAATTTTGACTTTTTAGGATTATCACTTTCTGATCTGCTGATGGCTGTGATAGGTCATTTAACATGTTTAACTAAGGGAAAAATTACTGATGGCCAGATATGGGAATCTTTCCTTAGGCCTACCGAGCCCTAAATTTTATCATTGGGTTGTCAATTAGGAATGACAACCCAATGATTAAAATTTAGGGCTGGGTAACTCCAGCTACCCAAGCCCGCCAGACCATGTCCGAATGTTAAAAAGGCGATAAGTTGGGCCAAGTTACTCGGATTACCCTAGCCCCACTAGTGTGGCCGTCGGTATGCTGCGCTTCAGCGCAGCATACCGACGGCCACACTAGTGGGGCTAGGATTACCCAAGCACCAAGCCCCGAATGTAGGCCTAGCCTACTCCCTTTTTTAAATTTTTTTTTTATAGACTTTTTACCAAACAATTTTACAACGAAGTAGCACATTTTTTTTCTTAATTGTGTCAGCTTACCAATACTGCCCAATCTAACGTGTCCAAGGCTACAGATATAGCAAAAACTTTTGTTTTATTTCCACAAAATTTTCGCGTATTCTTTCAGTTCACTTCAGTTTCACTTCAATGTCAAGTTGACTGGTTGGGGACAAGTGAGGGCGCTATACACAATCCATCTGCGCGCTCGCCCTCTTCGTATTTATAGACCGCTTGCAGACGCGTTCGATAATTGACGCGCTAAGGTGAGCGACGCCATGTTATGGGACAAAATGTGCGTGAATTGATATACGCCTGTCCCACAACACGGCGTCGTGCGCCTTCGCGCGTCGATTATCGAACGCGTCTGCAAGCGGTCTATACCGGAAGCGACGTCCACTTTCGATAAAAAAAAAAAAAACCTAGCGAGGAGATGGGCGTGTCCCGAATCCCCCCTTTTAGCTGTGTTACTTTGTTCACCAGACTTTTTACAGCACGATATGGTTTGAAGATGGACAGATTATTGGAGTTTGGAATGATATCGATTTCGCAATTATGTTACTTCCGAGGTCGAGGCTGATAATCAAAGTTGACAATTTTTACATGTATTTCTTTATGCTTGCATTTTCTTCCAACACGTTTCAATTCCAGCTCCTCTGGCTGACCCCGCCACTGAAACATAAAGTTGTCCAAAAAGTATTTCTCAGTTTTCATTCAGAAGTAATTTGCATCGTATTTTGATTTAAACAAAAAAGAATACTTCAAACTGTGGAAGATCGTGAATGTCCATTGAACCAAATGTAGAAGGACCTGACTACAATTACATTCATGCGTAAAGCACAAGAAATAAATGCTACAAGCTTGCCGTTTAAATATCATGACCTTTTTTTTCCCATGGACTAACTCTGTTTATATTCCTTAAAAAACTAATACCGGTACATTATTTTGCCGAGCAATATTTTGTCTGCTGTGTTAAGACGTTGATGACCTGGATAATATGGTACATGTATCTATATACCTGTGTCCGTAGCCATGTGTTCTGCTTACAAAGTTCGTCCCAGTCCGTCCTTCCGTCTACTGTCACACATTTAGCGCCGTCTGCTCGCTTCTGGACGCGGCGGCGTAACAGCCGCTTTCCGCTCACTTCACTGATGACTTTCTCGCTACAAACCGCCGACCGGGACTGGGTACCACTCTGCATTATGTACTCAAATTAATGCACTTTCTGGCAGTAAAGTAATTAAATCGCAGGGAATTGATCTCCTTTCACCTCTTGTGAGCTTCGAATTGTGGGAGATTTTGAAGTCGCTTAACCTGGATGTTCTTATTTATATATCTCATGACGTGCCAAAGTGATGTGATAAGCATCGTGTGGTGGCTATATTTAGATGATCCCCTGCCTGCCCTGGACCGTACCCCGTCGCGCTCCGTGCGTTTAGCTATAGGCACGGTATCCTGGTACCCAAGGACGGTTTTCAAAACCTAGTTCCGGGTTCATTTAGGGGCCGTTCACAATTATTATCAACATTTTCACAAGTGTACAAAGAGTACACTTTTTCAAGACCCGCCCCCCTCCCCCCTAAAAGTGTACGAAAAAAAGTTGATTTTTTTTTCCACACAAGTCTATACATAGACACTTGCATGTGATTTAAAGGGTTTTTGTAACTTTTGTAGATCAAGTTTTTGTACTATACATGTACATGTACATACAGTAGATTTTCATGTACAATGCCGCGCATGCTGTACACAATACGTTCATGGGATGCAATGCGGGGCCTGGCGCGGAGCGCGACCGGCTCGGCAAGTGCTCGATCGGTTGTCGGTTGTCGGTTGTCGGTTGTCGGTTGTCGGTTGTCGGTTGTCGGTTGTCGGTTGTCGGTTGTCGGTTGTCGGTTGTCGGTTGTCGGCTGTCGGCTGTCGGCTGTCGGCTGTCGGCTGTCGGCTGTCGGCTGTCGGCTGTCGGCTGTCGGCTGTCGGCTGTGGCGACGGGCGAGAAAACAGATCGACATTTAAAAAAAAAAAAGCGTTAGGCGGGCATTAACGGGCGAGAAAACATATCGACATTTAAAAAAAAAAAAAAGCGTACGTGGCGGCCATTAACCCCCTCCCCCCCCCCCCCCCCCCCCCAGCGTACGGTTTGTACGCTCGTGAAAATGTTGATAATTGTGAACGGCCCCTTAGGGAGGTCAGTTTCAAGTGTTTACAGGTCACATCCGGGTCTTTAGTTGGTTATTAATATTAGGCTACAGCCTCTAGAGCTTGGACTTGGACCCCAGCACCATGACGTTGCTTAGCAACACTCTAGCACTCAATGTGATAGCGCATACAGGGTGAGTAAATTCAAAGGAAGCCCAAATGGCAAGACCAATTATTTAATGAACTTCTGGGACATGTAGCACTTTCAAAATCTAGGATTACGAAAGCCCAATTATAATAAGCTTTCTCTTAGTACATAAATAATTCAATCGTAATTATATGTATACTTGTCAAGTTTACGAAATTGTGAACACAAACACCGTTTTCAAGTTCTGTCCACGGATCACCAAAAAGGTAAGTGTTCTTTCAGCAAAACGAAAACAATTCACATGTATGTGAATTGAATTGTTTTCGTTTTGCTGAGAGAACTCACACCTTTTTTATGATCCGTGCACAGAACTTTAAAAACGTAACCCTAAGGCAAAAAGAAAAAGTCTCCGGTTTCTGGTATGGAGCTTGCCCAAAAAGTGGTGCGGCGACGCGGCTTTTTTTTTTTTTACCTGTTTTTTTTTGCTTCAAATGTCGGCTGATGACTGCAAATGGTGCCCGACTAAACTTAGTGCAAATATTATGGGAGACCAGAGAGGCCACATAATTAGCTTATTCTCGATCATAACCACATCTTAAAACACGTTCAAATTGTGCAGCAGCAGGATTCCAGTTAAACCAGTGAGTTTGGCGGTTTTGAGACATCATCTTTCATTGAAAAAAAAAACCTTTTTCATTTTGCCGACACGCATGGCTACGGCGACGCGCGCGCATACCAGAAACCGGAGACTTTTTGGGGGGGCCTAACCCTCTGTTTTGGTCCGAAACAGTGGAGAATTATATCTCTTTAAAAATGAAGCTCCTATTTCTATATTCATTACGAAAAACTTGTTTATTAGAAGAGCTACTTCAGCTTGTGAGGTCCGTCTTGCCATTTCATGACAAAAGTATGCGACCTATCCGCTTTACTTTGAAGAGGTTTTTTTCGGCCATTGTCCGTCAAATAATACCTTTCTTGGTATATAGGCGATTTTTGTCTGAATACAAAACCTTGAAATGGTTGCGGGCTCAATGGGCCCTTTCGGCCTTCGGGGTTTCCTTTTCTCAATCCCGACCCTTATAATGTCCGCTAAAGTACACAGGATATTATTATCAGGACACTTATTGAAACAGTTAAACAAAGGAAGTCCTGTTTGGGGGCAAAGTTTGGGCACAACAATCTTATCTCATACAGTCTACAGAAAACCATGTTCTGATTTGAGTTTTGGTTTGTTATTACCGGGTATAGTGACACAATAAAATTTGCTGTCCGGTTTACTGTAAGACTTGGGCAAGTCTACAAATAGTTCCCATTGTGTCTGGTAATTGTTTCCTTGATTTCTTAGTAACGGAAGTAGTAGTGTGGCTATCAGGAATGTGACGGGTTAGGTTCCTGAAAATTGCATTGTGAACATCATTATATAATAATATTGCAAAACTACACGTTTTGTTTAGTTTTTTTGACAACACATTGGTATAAACTGAAGTCGAAAATTGCTGAACGTTATTATTATTTGGGGTGGGTTTTTCGGGGGTGGGGTGGGGGGGGGGGTTAGGTAATACAATTGATATTACCTTCCGAAATAGGGAACGCCGAGCCCAAATTTAAAGGGCCGCCGAGCATACGACGCCTTAGCTGCGATATCGCGATTTGTAGCAACGAGCAAAAATGATATTATATAAGAAGTGAAAGGATTCTGATAATATAGTTTTGGTTTTGGATGTCATATAAAGTGACCCAGGCATCCGTATAAATATCACAAGTTAAGTTTTGTGAGAAAATAAAAGTCTTTAGGGTATGCACCGGGGGTTCAGTGGATTCTTGGGGAACTGGAGTAGAAATCCATCGTATAGTTTGGCGTGAACTGGAAATAGAATTAAATTTACATCAAAATTAAGTGCATATTCTGCTCAACTGTTAATAACACTATAAGAACCTTCAGAGTTTCTGAAGTGACTCGAAAAGTTTCTGCTCATAGCGTGGATTGCGTGGTTCCGATTGCATGGTATGCCAGCTGGTTACGACATAGAGCAAGGAACAGATCAGAATATGTCGAGGGAAAGTGAAGAAATCTCTTCCGGGAGGAAAATCCACCGGCCAGCTGTGTCAAGTGTCACTGGCGGGGAAATCCCTCTCACCATGGAGCTATTAAATGCTCTCACGCACGTTCTGCCAGATGTCAAGGCCGTTTACACAGCAGACACTGGGTGTTAGCATGCTCCATGGTGTTAGACACTAAATTTATAGCCGGCGCATAGGCACTAAATAACATCAGCGAACGGAACAACATACATCGCAGCCATGATCGCAGGTATACGAAAAGATCTCATTAAAACTCTACATAATAGGTTCAAATCTCACTCCAATCTCTGCGTGTAACCCGATGTCGGTCGGAGGACAGGTGTCCTTTAAAGTTTATTAATTATGATGACGACCACAGATTTCGCAAAATAAATAATAATAATAATAGTACCCTCTCAAGTCAAGTTGGTTAAAACTTTAACCTACAATGCGTAAATTTTTCCAATTTGACCAAAATAATGTTGGGTATATTTTACCCAACGCTGGGTAATGTGTACCCAACATTGGTCAAATAATATACACATTGTTGGTATTTTTACCAACTTTTTTTGACCACAACCAAATTTCAATTCGTGTTTTGAGAGCGTAGTTAATGACGTACATGCAGCTGTAGCGTTGAGTGTGAATTATGTGCTGCATTACGGCAGACAACGCGATAACCCCCACCGAGTTGACCGGAATAATTGCTTCATAATGTCGTGTAGGGAAATCCCCTAAAATGTACGCTGTACTATGGTTAGTACCGTACCACCCCATAGTAGTGCATTGCTTACTCAGCACTTCGAGATAAGGTGGTTGGGTTCTGCCCGGACGGCCTTGTCTTGAACACACACAGTTAGCAATGATATTTGACAATAAAATGGATGAAATATGAATTTAGGATAGGATAACTTGATTGTGTGGACGTATGATCTTCGGTCGAATAATAAAGTAACCCGAAATTATACGCTAGTCAGTTTAAGCACGGATCCTAGACACCAGGATAAACGACTGTTCTGAGCTCTAGTACAAAATGCACTCAGTGGACTTACGCGTGATAACGGGCATTAATAACCGTTGGCGCGTAATCGCGAATTTTCCAGATGTGCCATTGTGTTGGGTTATCGCACGACATCTAAAACGGAAATATTCATAAAGCTGCAAGTAAAACTGCTTCTTAATCTTATTTAAGATATAATTGTTCCAAATTATTAAAAAAATAAATACTTCAGGATATAACAAATGGTATTGTACAGTTTTTGTCGTCATAGATGAAGTATTTACCCGGGAAATTAACATCAATTTTCGAGGAGAACACCGTTTACCCAAATTTCGTTTTTAATTAGGCTTTTATTAAAAAGTTTTAGAGAGATAGGATGCCGAACCGATGAAACAAAAGCGACATTTCATTGTTCATCTTAAAGCTAAAGATATTGTGCTCGGCGTTACCATGGTTATGTAGTTATCACTTATCAGAATTCAATAATAAAGACCAAAAACGTAGACTCATGAATATTCAAAAATATAATTCGCTGGCTTGACAGACTTCGAGGCCAGATCGGGCGAAGAGCCTTGCAAATCTGAAAGCCACCGCGCGCAGTGGTCTTTGTTGGAAAGTATTCATGATATTTGCCACCAGTACAGGCCGTTATCACGCGTCTAACCAGGAGTTGGGCGAGTCGTTAATCCTTGTGTGTAGGATCCGTGGTTGTGTTTTTTTTGTGCTGTTCTAGATGACTGAGCATGTTTTCATACAAAAAGGCTGAAACCCTCTTTTGTCAAGTTAGAAGGATGCAAATTCCTTTGTTTTCGCCCACAGAGTTCCTGATAACACTACACAGCGTACATTTTTAGGGGATTTCCCTGCACGGCATTATGAATAATAATTAAGTAACCCGAAATTATACGCTAGTCAGTTTAAGTGTCAGAGTTTTTCAGAAAAATTGTGGTTTTTGTATACATGTATTTTTATCTGTGCTGTTCTAGATGACTGAGCATGTTTTCTTACAAAAAGGTTGAAACCCTCTTTTGTCAAGTTAGACTGATGCTTTACGGTTGACCCGGATGCAGATTCCTTTGTTTTTGCCCAGAGTTCCCGATAACACTACCTGGATGTGACCTCTATTAATATGACGGCTGGACGAGTAAGACGTATCACCTTTCAATATCTAACAATATAGCGAGACGGATGTGGTGTGCCCATGCAGTTCCATTATTTGAAATAATACACGACTTGAAGCAACGAGTTTGTTTCGAATTTTTCAAGGATTCCATGTCATTATCTTCTCTCCCGCAACAAAATGGAGTGTAGCCCACAAGAATTCGGCGTGATAAGGATGTTGTTGTTACTATTATGCAGATATATTTTGAAAAGATTTCTGGCTTAAAGTTTTATTTAAATGAATTGTGATTGACATCCGCCCCGCCCTCAGTTTAAAAAAAACCACCTGCTTGTGATCGTATATAACAACTCTTAAAAATACTTTTAAACAGCGCCATTATGAGTCCTCCCTTTATCCAATCTGTCTTTAAATTAGTTTTAATTTTATTCCGACATAGTTTACAACACTTCCAGACCATAAAGACAAATTTCAGCATCATTTTGAACGTTTAAAGTGTATAGATCCTTTAAAGAACTGTCGGAAGTAAAGTAAAAAACATCGGCTAATTTTGTTTCTTTTGAATAGCTAATCACATTTTTACATTCTTGTAAAGAGAAAGCAGACGGTCGGAAAAAAGTTAATATCCTTTCTTATTTCGGTTATCCGTTTTCACTTATAGGACAAAGTTCGATCAAGTTAGGCAATGATCACTGATTCATCGAGAACATGCATTTAGTATAGTTTGTAAATATCTTTTATGATTTTTTTTTTGGGGGGGGGGGGGGTTATCCACGATTCGGAAAAAAGGCCAAAATACGTTTATCGATGCTGCTGATTCCTTTGACGTACCATGGACGTACAGATTGCTTATAATATTTATTTTCTGCAGGAAATAGTAGTAGTAGGCCTACATGGTGTTTCGTTACGTAACGGAGGATGGCGATACCAGTGAAGCGAGTAGCGGTGATCGGGGCGGGAGTGTCGGGGCTAATGTCCGTCAAGTCGTGCCTTGAGGCTGGGCTAGAACCCGTCTGCTTCGAGAAAAATGAACAACTCGGTGAGTTTACGGCCATGGATGTGTAAACCACTATTAATATTAAATTAATGTGTTACTTCAAGTATCAGCCAGTATTCTGTCTAAACTTCTACTTCATAACTTGTTTCTCCCAGGCGGGGTATGGCAGACCCAGGAGCTGGACAATTTGGACGGTATCTCTGGAGGCACCATCTATCAATGTCTGATGAGTAACTCTAGCAAAGAGATGATGGCTGTCAGTGACTTTCCATTTCCTAAGGAATACCCTCCCTATCTCACCCCACAACATCTCCTCACGTACTACCGCGATTATGCCGAACACTTCAATCTGGACCAGCACATCCGGTTAGGCATCGAGGTGATGAAGGTGGCACCGAGCGCGGACCACGAGGCTACGGGGAGATGGGAGGTGTGTTCCCGGCCAAGATGCCGTAGCGGCACGCTGGATGGACCCACCGCCTCGGAGATATTCGATGCGGTGATCGTCTCCACCGGCTTGTTCAACACGGCCTTCGTGCCTAGCTACCCCGGGCAGGGGGAGTTTCGTGGACAGATCCTGCACAGCAACCGATTCCGGAGCGGAGAACAGTTTGCCGGGAAAACCGTTCTTGTTGTTGGTAAAAAAAGAAGAAGTTTTTTTCTCTGTCTAATTACTAATCGTCAACACTTACCCGTTGTTGGTCTCTTTTTACTGCAGTTCACATCTTGTCATACCAAGTTACTTTGGCTACATATAAAAGTGAGAATTAGAAGACAAGTGTTGGTACCGGTAAAAGTTGGGTTCCTTCCCGTGAAACGGAAACCTATACCTCTGCAAATAAAATGGAGATGTCGCACGGATTTTTGGTTTTATTCTCTTCCGCGCAGAGTGCAGATTAAGCACTTTTCATTGATATTCAGTAAAACTATAATGCGTGTATTTAAATCTTTTTTAATCAATAGGCAGTTCGCATTCTGCTGGTGATGTAGCTGTGGATGCCAGCCGTCATGCAAATCAGGTAACCAGACACACGAAGATGGCATCAAGAACACCTCCGACACCCGTTGTATATTAAGGCGGGCGTTCCGGTTTTAAGAAATGATTATGTATATTAAGAAATGGCGTGAAACCATGCTCTTAAAGCATCTGGGCTGCAATACAGTACGGCAAGGTGTATAATCTATCTTTAACCCCCCCCCCACCTTTTCTCTGTTGTTCAGGTTTACCTGAGCATGCGAGATGGAGCCTGGGTGATCGGCCGGTTTGGCCCGGGCGGCATGCCCATCGACGCCTACTCCAACAGCCGCTGGAAGGCCAAGCTCCCGGAGGTCATCAGACGTCTGGCCGCTCGACCGATGTTCGAGGGCCGCTTCGATCTAGATAACCTAGGCTTGCGGTGTAAGAGGCGGCTGTTTGAAGGCTACATCATGGTGAACGATGAGATCCATTGCCGTATTATCTGCGGGGCCCTGCAGTGCAAGCCGGGCATCGAGAGGTTCACACGGGACGGTGTGGTGTTTGAGGACGGGACTCGGGTTGATGGGCTGGATGTGGTAGTCTTCGCTACAGGCTACAATCTCAACTTTCCGTTCTTTGAGGATAACTCCATCATTGCAGGTGAAAAGAGACTTAAAGCTCGAAAAAGAGTTTCACATCTTGAAACGTGCGACCTGCGACGCAAAAAGAGTATATACAAGAAGTGAATCAGTGTAAAAGCCAATTATTCGGATTCTTAGCAATGTTCAAAACTCTAATAAAATATAATATTGGAGATGATGTATTCCTCTCAGGCCAGATGTTTTCTTTGAAGAATTGTAGATTCTCTTACCAATTTTATAATAGATTTCAAAGCACAATGTCGCTGACAAAATGCAGAGATCAGCTCAGAATGCTGTGTCATTTGAATCGGCCAATCACAAATAGAGCAAGAGTTATTGCTGTGTAGGAAAGTTAGTGGGTCATTTTTTTTTCTTGCATGAAATACAGATAATTTTGCGGACTTGGAGTTGTACATGCACGTCTGGCCGGCACGCCGTACCCACCCAACGCTGGCTGCCGTGGGCTACGTGTCTACTCTGGGAGCCCAGACCCCGCTATTCGAGCTCCAATCACGCTGGGTTGCTCAGGTGTTTCTTGGGAACGCTCGGCTGCCTGGGATAGACGAGAGGATGGAGGACGTGAAAAGACGCAAGGAGGCGTACTTTAAGAAGTTCGGGAAGCATCGTATCTTTGTGAGTCATTACACGGTACTGATTGGGAAATCCGGCTTTTCGAGGCCTCCGTATGAATCAAAATGCAAGTAATGCAAGGGGTGCACTTTACGTACCGTCACGTTCCGTTTTTCTGGTTTCGATTTGTGGGCAGGCGTGGGGTCGGTGGGGAATTGTATGTATGTTGTCTTCTTTGTTTAGGCCTATGGCAAGTTTTTTTATTTTTTTTTATTTGGGAACAGATGAAAATTGAAAGAAATGGTCATCCCATGATAATAATGAGCCACTTGTTGAAATGAGTTTCTTTGAAAATTCTGTACCCAGTTCCCACCAATCCCATACTGCGAGGAATTGGCCGACAAGATTGGAGCACGGCCCAACTTCACCAGACTCCTCCTGACTGACCCCAAACTAGCTCTCCGTGCATTCTTGGGTCCGGCCTACCCACCCTTCTACCGGCTCAACGGGCCCCACCCATGGGCGGGGGCCAGAGACGCTATCATCAACGGCTGGGCAAATACCGTCAATCCCACCAGGACCAGGGTGGTGGAGAAGCCGTCGACTGGTGGCGCCCTCACCGTGGCCATGTTGATAGCTGTAACCGTACTTATTATTAGTTTAATCCTCGTGTTAAACTGATGCCATTCAAATTTCCCTTTAATTGATGGGAAAAAAAGGAAAAACACTCCTGTTGAAAAACGAACATGAGTCAGGTTTCCATCCTGAGACTGATGGTACAAGATAATCAATATTGCTCAGGGCATTGTTTGGCAAGTGGAGGATCGAACTGACCCAAGGCAGGCTAGGACGAACATACGCACCTTGTTCCCATACCCCCGGCCGCCCCAACCAAGAAGTGGGATTGTCACTTTTATGAGTTTTAAAGCGACACAATTTTTGCGAAAAACAGAAAGTGTTTTCTATTTTTGATTTATGTTAAGTTCAAATAGGCTAGGTAAGGATAAATTGAATCAAACAAGAACAGAGTAACCTATTAATTTGCCAGTCATCAAAAACAAAACGGATTTTCGAAATTGGATGTAGACTAAATACGAGAGTCACCATTTGGTTTAAGCCAAACAGTCGAACTGATTTTTCCCTATAAAAATAGGGCAGGGTGGGGTACAGTAATATGTCCAGACTGGATCGGGGACAAAAGCATTGGAGTTGCGACAACCAGCTGCTGTGTGGGTACACAATGGAAACAAAATCAATGCAACAAAACATCGATTCCACAATCCATAGTTTCGTTTTGTGTTAATAACAATGTACAGACAATAAAGCAGCAAAATATGACTTAATTGTTTATAAATAAATTTTAAAAAATATAGAAAGCATGGATGCATTTTCGAGAAAGTGAGCCTATAAAGAAATTCCTAAAAACAATTATCCCCACTAAGATAGACGAGAAAGAATACACAATGCTAAATACCAACATATAGAAACACAGCATCGAGATAGAAACAAACGGATCAAACATTAAAATACTGCATATTGTGAAGAATTTTGTGTAAACTAAAAAGATAATAGCTACAGGTCGCACTCAAGTGGAGAATTGTTCCTTTGAAACAGCGTTCAACTTGATCATGGAAGATTGGACAGATAAACTTTTAAGTATTATTTCACCCAGCGTTGACTACATCTCCGAAAATTGGACCAAACATCGAAAGTTACCAATGTAGCTCATATTTCAATATTGATCGAAGTAAAAAAAAATTTAAAAAAATTACAATGTAATATGATTGATGAATTAATTACAAATTGACAAGATGTATACATTTGAGTTCTATGGCAGCACCAGAAATATGTTCTTAGGGAAGTCACTTTGAAAATACAGTAAGATGTATGAACTATAATGACTGCTTTGCATGCTTTAATTTATGAACTTGCGAACATGCAAATGTATATACAATGTAAATATAATTTAGGAATTGCTAAAAAAAAAAAAACTTTCGAATATTTACTGACATGCTACGACCGTCTGAAACGAAAATTTGTTTTATTATTACCAAGCAATTACATCGGACTTAAAAAAAAAATAATCAAATTAATTTTACATGACACAATTTTCACTTGCACGAAAGACTGTATGACCTCTGAAACCAATTTCTCTCACGCAAACTTATGGACACCACCTCCTTGAGTAAAATTTTAAATATAAAAAAATATTTCAAGATTGAGAAGCCTAGGTAAAGACCTGTCGTGTCATGAACACCTTAACGAACTCTCCTCTTTTCTTAATAGGAATTCTAGGGAGTGTCTAACACCTTATTTTTACAGTTGTTTTGTGGTATTTTAGTTGAGGTATAAAAAAATATACAAACGTTGGATAAAAAATAAAACGAGAGAAATTGGACACAAAATATAAAAATGTTCTTTTGCAATATATATGCAGAAAACAAAAACAACTCCGCTATACACAAACACATTAGTAGCCGACTTGTGTTCGCTTAGTTGTCATTTGTCAGGAGCTGACACATTTCATTATGAATATATGGCAAAATGAATATTTTGGAGAATTATTGAAATTTTAAAAAACAATTAAAAAATCAAGATTTTAATAATTCATAATAATTTATAATATAATGTCCTTTTTATTTCCACAACGGCAACAATCCAGCCACTTTTCATCAGAATCAATGATGACAGACCCCTCCCCCCAAAAAGAATGTTTTACACAAACTTTGTCTTTGATACGGAAACTTTTAATTCATACAACCCCAAATTCCATCAAAATCCAATAGCTCCATTATGCACCGTTTGGATGGATTCAGGATTATACAAGCCAGCCACTGTAGCTTCACATGGGCTTGTCCCTATTTCATATGAGTACTTTGAATGTTGAACTGTTTTCTGCAATTTTGAGAAACTCAACAAAGTAGCCATCATAATTGGCCAAGGAGTTCAGCATCTAATATTTGTACATAAATTTAAAAAGGCATGTGTCTACATATGAGGTTATGTGACTTCATGCTCTTCTTTCTTGTTACAAGCCCAAATGGCTAATCTTAATTATGCGTAGATGCAGAACACTGTGTGCGTTATTACGTGAGTTGACCTCATGTCAGAGTTCATCATGGAGGAAAGCTGCCTTAATGACCTTGCCCATCTCTGACTCTATGTCTGAGAGGATGAGGAAGTGTTCAGACTGAGACAAGGTCACAACGTTAAACGACCTTGGACCAAATTTAAATGCTAGTTATACCATTGCTGGGCCACTATTGTCCTTTTCAGGTATGCTTTCTGAGTTGACGGCGTCCTCATAGGTCGGTGGAGGTGCAGTTGAATCAGTTGAGGGGTAGGGTTTGGGTGTCATAGCAGAAGGATCCCTTCAAAAGAAAAAAAACAAATCAGGTTGAGAAGAGACTTTACAAGAGGATTTGAACCTACGAGCTGCAACCTCCAAAAAATTGTAGGGTACTCAACCGACCGAGCTATAAAGCCCTACGTTGAAAATCTCCTAACTGTCACTTTGTTATTGATAAGGCACTAGTCATGCAGAAAATGAGATTTCTTTATTCTTTTGAGGTATCCTCCCCACACCTCGTCTATGTTCCTTGATATACATGTACATTACACACAAGATGAGGAATAACCGACTGCAAAATGTTTACAATTTCCGCATTGTCTCTTTTCCACATTTTTCTTAAAGAAATGCTTCCTAGGGAGTGTGAAAAAAAGTGATGTCATAAATTTTAGACCTTTTATCTTCTTCAGCCTGTAAATGCGTTGTTTTGTTTTAAAGTCATATTTGACACATTTGTATTATATAGTACTTTTTCAGCTGCTGTTTCGTCTTTTTGGCCATGCACAGCAAGAATACCATGTGACTTGCTGTCAGCCAATCAAAAACAGACCCTGTGGGGAGGTGTTATAAATTAACAAGCTTCCTTATCTTGGTTACCAACTAACTGGTAACAACTCCAGAAATAATTATTCAGTTTTAAAACACAACTTACTGTTGTGGATAGGGAATGGTCGCTGGATATTGTTGAGGTGGTGGATGGATGCCGGGCTGGAGCTGTGGTTGATAGGCCACTTGTCCCCCTGGTCCATACATGATTGTTGCCCCTGGACCTTGTGGTTGGATGATAGGTGGTGCCCCAGGTTGTACTGGCTGGACTATTTGTGGCTGTGCCCCAGGCTGGCCGTATACCAACGTGGTCACCCCTTGCTGATTCAGTGCGATTTGCTGCTGTTGTTGCATACGTCCCCTCCGACAAAACACAACGCAAGCCATCATCAAGGATAGGCCCAGAATGAAAAAGATGCAACCGACAATTCCCAAGCCCATGGCGAAGTTGAACCCAAACGACATCATCATAATTCCACTGAAGAGAAAGAAAAAGCCGAACGTTCCGAGGCAGGCTCCCAAACCAACTACACTACCCATTGGTGTCCCGACCCGGCCCCCGACCACGTGTGCACCCATTGGTGTGCCCACGGACGAGACGTGGGTATGGTGGTGAACATTGTGGTGGCGATGACGATTGTGGTGAGCGTGGTGATGGTGGTGAGCAGCATGATGGTGTCCATGGTGCCTAGGCATTGTGGGTCTTGTGTCGGCAGCCTTGTCCCTCGGTCTCTGGAAGAGGGCAGGGTACATCCAACGAAGGTGCTGCTTCAATAAGTCTCTCTGTCCAATTTGTTTTGTCCTAGGACAAAATATTTAATAGTGCGAACTATTAAATTGAATTACAACTTCCTTCCATGGCAGTAGTTTTGAATAAATTTTGGTGAGAACAATAATTTGAATGAATGACAAATAAGACTGACTCCATTTGGTAGTTGTTGTATACCAGGTTCATGTGTACCTCCTAGGCCGAGTAACTAGGACTCTACGAATTGCCTTAACACTTGGACATGGCCGGGCGCTATTGCCTGACCATATCCAAATGTTAAAAAAGGTGATTCGAAGAGTCCTAGTTACTCAGACTATGTACCTCCAGACTCTGTGTTCTACATCTAGACCTATCTAATGGAACGATTCCCATATCTGGCCATCACTAATTTGTCCCTTCAGTCACCTATCAGCCACCAGGAAGTAATATGTCCTAAAAAGTAAAATTTAGCAGGGAAAATATTGATGCATTTACTGAGAAAACACTTCAGACCTGTCTCATAGGGGTTGTGCATGCAGAGGTTGACAAGTCACACTCACAGTGCAGTGCTGGCTGGCCAGATATGGGAATCTTTCCTACCACAATAGTAATGACATTGAGTAAGTATACTTAAGTATACTTACAGTATGTCAATAGTTACAAACCTTAAAGTAAGATCAATATTTAACTTGTTGCTGTGTCAGTGTCAAAAACTGTCAATTTTGTTGACTCTCGTCACGAAATTAAATGTTCGGCCCCCCGGCCCCCATTTTTTATTTATCTTCAAATGGGTTCAATTCAAATCCCTGAAATGTCAAACAAAATGGGAAATTAATCACAATTTTGCTCACCAAGATCACAGGAAACGTTACTCAACTATCTAGGACACGTTATAGGCCTATTGTACCACGAAAAAGGAACTTGCACTAGTGTCAGTAGTGATGAATTGGGCAAAATCAAAAGGTGTGGTCGACATTCATGTAATTGTCACGTAAATCTACCGACAGCGAAATTTATGACATTGCTTTGCGGCAAACAACGCCCTCTCGTGGCAGATAAAAAAAAGATCAAAAATAACAAATTAATATTAAACTAGTAGTCTCCGCCCTCATAAACAACTGAACTGCACGAAAAAGTTTAATCATTAACGTCATTGTCAATAGTTATGGTTGATAAGGAGTATATATGTATTATGCGTCATGTCCATGAACGAGAAGGTACAGGCATAGTACGGTCAGGGCCGCATCACTTTTTCCATTAGACTCAGTCGTTTTAATACTGCTGGCCCTCGGATAGCCGAAGCGACCAACTTCTGCAGATTTTATGTTCGCCGGTGAAGTTAGAAATTTAAATTTGCTTGGTAAACGTGACGAGCACGAAGAGTACAGTACACATATGGTAAATAACATGTAAATTACATTGCTCTGGTATTATTCTAGTGTACAATGTAGGTCCAGTTTTGCATTACGATTTGTAGTGTTCCGATTTTTTAGCGACTAAGAACCATTCCCGCTACCCCATCTTAGTGCAGCAACACGGAGGCCACACAAGTGGAGCTGCCCTGGCATTTCTTATCACCCCCCCCCCAAAAAAATTGGCAAGTCTTCCACATCATGAATTGTGTTTTGTTAAGACGATTCCAACCATAAGTCGCGATCGTCTGAACTCTAAGACCATCCGTCCCAACTGGCCTACTAGCAAGGGACGATGCTATTTGGGCATAACCTTCTTACAAGAGGTAACTTGAACTTGATGGATTGAATTTGATCTATTTTGTGTCTTTGACATTATTTTTTTGTGCAGGTGAAGATTGAACAATTTGAACTTGAAGCAACTTGGATGTAACTGGGCCCTGCCCTCTCCTAAGTTCCAGACCCAGAAACCAAGAGACAAAAGTGTCGTCAAAAAACCTGGCACCATGAACCATGACCATGATTTTCACCATGATGTTGGTGCCCACCATCATGACATTCACCACGATATTCACCACCATGGCATAGGACACGATCACCACGGCATTCACCATGATTTTCACCACCATGGCATAGGAAACCATCACCACGACATTCATCACCACGATATTCACCACCATGGCATAGGAAACCATCACCACGTCGTTCACCACGACATTCATCACCACCCTCATGTTTCGTCAGGCGCCACCGTGGGTGTCCAAAGGGTGGGCAGGCCAGCTGGTGGTGCAATGGTCGTGGCGGTCTGCTTTGGAATGTTTGGCGTTTTCTTCCTGATCGGCGGAGTCATGATGGTGGCGTTCGGTTTCAACTTCTTCTCTGGTGTTGGGATTGTTGGAGCCATCATGCTGTCAGTGGGCGTGGCCATGTTGATTGCTTGTATTGTGTGTTGCTGTAAGGGCTGCCTGCAGCAACAGCAGCAGCAGCAGCAGCAAGCATTTGTGCTCCAGCCGGCCGGTGTCATGCAACCCCCTCCCCCTGGGGCACCACCCATCATTCAACCACAAGGTCCAGGGCCAAGTATCCTGTATGGACCAGGGGGACAAGTGGCCTATCAACCCCAGATCCAGCCCGGCATCCAACCACCACCTCAACAGTATCCAGCAGCAATGCCCTATCCTCAACAGTAAGTCAATCAACTGAGTATCCAGAGGTCCAAAGTATTCAAATCAATACAGAGTGTCACACTACATGTACAACAGAGATTACTGAGATTCAAATCAGGCAAATAATATCCTTGTTATCATGAAAGTCGATATTATTTTGTGGCAGCATTTTCTTTGTCAACTCCCTGGGGAATAACAACGTATATATATTCCTAAAGTTTGTGGTTTCTTTTTTTTTCTTTTGAAGGGTTCCTGATGTTCCATCTGCGCCTCCTCCATCCTATGAGGATATAGTCAAACCAGCAGGCGGACCTGAGGAACATGAGCAGATGGTATAACCTGGGAATATAAAAAAAAAACACGCCTCAATCTCTCTGATATTGAGTCAGAGATACTGACCAATGCACTCTTTACATAATGAACTCTGACAGCGACAAGGAAGGAACCATTTTTACATTACCTCCTGAAGTAAGGTATCCAGTCTACCTGAGTCGAAGTTCAGTGACGTATATGAAGGGCAGACATTTTATGCTTACTAAATTGTAAGGATTTCTTGTGTAGGATGTTGCAAAAACCCAAATCTATGCTGTAAACATAGCTATAGGCACATCAGGTTTTCTCGAATGTCTTTCCTCTAAAGCACAAGCTACATTTGCATTTATAGTAGCTAGGTACTGCAGTCATGATTTATGTGAAACTCTGCGAAACCGTGTGATGGATTTGTTAGAATGGTAAGAAAAAGTTGTAGAAAATCCACTCATTCTAGAGTAATGTTGACATCAAAATATTAAGGGAGATTTTCATTTGTTGTGAAGGCCTGAATTATGGTCAAAATTATGATACGTTTTATTGGTGACCTTTTAGCTAGCATTTGAAATTTGTCAAAGTTTTTGAAAGTTTAAAAACGGGGGTCACACTCCCAAAGCTACCAAGCATGTTTCTCTTGACTGTGACACGAGAAAATACAGTTCATAACAATTAAAGAATCACTATTAAATACACTGATAGAGTTCCCAACATGCACATCCTATAATCAGTTAAACACAAACCGACATGCAGTACGATGTCATGCCCAAATTAATATCACATCAAATGCGTACCTAATTAATATTTCTGAGGCAATGTTCTGTGATCATTATGATTTTCTGGTCTACTGCCTTAGCGTTACATTTTTTTTCGGGACCTGGTTGCTGTCTTTATACAAAATGGCTTTTAAAAAATTTAATTTATTCCTTTATTTTCCTAATATTAAACAGTACTGTTTGTGATATTCTGAAATATTTCAAAAATACTACAACATTAACAGATAAAGAAAATCTATTTGTGTATAATAGGCCTAAAAGTATTATTGTACAACGGTACTATAGGACAGTTAAGTTTGTATTTCAGTTTCAATCGAGATAATTTTAACAGTAAACTATTTGTGTAATTATAAAAATTAAAATCTTTAATACAGACCTTGTTGAATTCAGTCATATTAAATTTGTACAATATATATATGAAATAAGTATGTGAAGAAATATAGTCCTTCATCAGTACTTCAGTTACTATGCTGTAATTTTAATAAATATTGATAATATGCGATCAACATCAATAAATGATCAGCGGTTATATATAACTTGAATGCTTTGTATAGCGATGCATGCCACATCTTTTCGTTGTATTTGCATACCATATAATGACCCTTGTGAGGTGAGCCATTGTGTGTCCATTTGGAGGGATAGTTATCCACTATAATCCAACATGTATGTGCCCTATAATGTTGTTTTTCTACACATGACTTGGGCAAAGCAAAAACTATTAGAAAACCAAACTGTCATTCTTTGACTGCGCAGTTGTGTACAGCTACAGGTCTTTAGACTCTAGTGTCTGTGGCCAGTTGATGATTTTTGCAGTGTAAACGTAAGCGATATTTTCTGCTTATTTCAAGGTTCCATCAAATTAAATAAATGATTATTGGACTCACCTAAAAAATAGCTGTGAGGGAATCCTTTTGAATATCATCAAAATTATTTTGTGGAAAGGCGGCAGGTAGGGTTTTGAACCGAAGTTTCAGGGATAGCTAGCACGCATGACTAAGTACTGCTAGCTATAGACGTAAAATGGCGACGATAGTACCGAACGCTTTTGAAGCACGTCGCGGATAGGCTGATAATTTTGACATTTACAACAACTCTTATAAGATATTATACGAATATGCAAACTGTGTACTTTCAACATTACAATATCTGCACAAAGCCGACAGAAAGTAGCGAACACGGGAACAATGATTGTATTTTTGTCTTAGTTGTCATTTCTATAACCCCACTTTTTTACCCCCCCCCCCAAAAAATAGTATAGTTCTTTCAGCCGGGAGTTGCCGGGGAGGGGGAGGGGGAGGGGGAGGGGAGGAGTGGGATTTAGGGGGGGGGGGGCACGTTCTCACACCCCCAAGGACCCCCACCCACACACACACTACAAAACAAAGAGATCAGAAAAAGGGAATGAAGGCCCCCTATATAGCGTCAACTGAGTTCCAGCCCCCCTTCTAACGGGGCCGTATCATAAGTCCGACGCCTCATAGGTCCGACGCCTCATAAGTCCGAAATTTCGGACTTATGAGGCGTCGGACTTATGAGGCATAACATTTATTTATTCCGCCTCATAGGTCCGACGCCTCATAAGTCCGACGCCTTATAAGTCCGACAACAGAAAAACGAGGCGTTTAATTTATCGGACTTACGAGGCGTCGGAGCTATGAGACGTCGGACCTATGCGGCGTCGGACTTATGAGGCGTCGGACCTATGAGGCGTCGGACTTATGAGCGGACCCCCTTCTAACTTGGGCACATTTTGTTGTTGATCCGCCCTTGGTGTAGTACTATTATGCGCGAACAGATTTGCTGATTAATTAGGCAAGACCCCGCCTCTTGACTTCCTAGATTTTCACCAATCAACAGGCGCTTTCTATAGGTCTATCGGGTCTTCGGTCATTCACCCGTTGCACGTCATAGACATGGATTAAAAAAAAATGTCACCGCGCGCGGCGCTCGGTATCATGTTACGCGAATGCGCACCCGGCTGTTGTTGTATTACAAAAACGCTGCATTCGAATTGACCAATCACAGCGTTAGTCCTGATTTTGGGATGAAATGACGTCACGATTTAGTAAAGTCGACTCCGGTGGCTGGCGCGCGGCTTGCATAAATCTGCATGCTTTGACATATCAGACGTTAGACAGGAGATGGCTCCTTGGATAACGGGTGATACTCAGACTACCCTTGGTGCCCCCGCACATAAAATGCTGGTCCCCCCCCCCCAACTAAACAAATGTCTTTCCTCTGATCCTGACAACGGATCATGAATCATTAACGATGATTACTAACACTGTTGGTGCCCGGCAGAAAATTTTAAATTTATAATATTATATTATAATTTATGTTTAACATCATTGATTGCAAGTTATTTAAAATCGCACATGGTAGGGACGTAGACATGTTATTAATAGAACTAAACGCACGCAACTCACACGGAGGTACAGGTGCCTTCTTCAATTTCTTAGTTGTAGAGTTTTGGTGTGATTATTGGTGGCGCTGTTCATCGTGGAGGTAGGTTGGTGTCGTACCAACCTCGTCCCCAGTGCTTACTTTATTTCCAACGTTGTTTCCAATAGTAAACCCTGGAGAGGAAACTTTCTTCATGTATCCACCGCAATTGGCTAGTAATGGATTTTTATCGTGTACTTGGTGCTATTATTCACAACGTGCAGTGCGTGTTTTCGCGATCATTCGTCCACGCCTTCTCGAAAATACTTATTTCCTTTCCAATTTGCTCATATTAATATAAAATATGATACTGCATGTTGTCTCGATAAGATCGTAACTGTTTGATTTCAAAAATCGTGTTTTCGTAACTCACGCCGTGCTCGCGCTGCTACAAATTGACTCTGTTTTTACCCCAGACACCGCATACAAAAACAAACGCTAATGTGTAACGCATATCCAGGCACCAGACTGTTCCACATTTGCATACGTGTGCAAAAATCTTGCACGTGCAAATGATCCAATACCAGGGTGAGAGAGCAGGTAGTGATGGGCGCGTACTGCTCGACACCCTGGGTACGAGGTTGGGGTCGTACCATAGGTTCTTTATGTCTATGGGTCGTACGCATAGAGACGGCGTGACAGACGCGGAGGTCACCGCGCACGGCATTTGTCGTTCGGGAATTCGCGCGGGAAGTTGCCAGCGGTATCTCAAGTGCACAGGATTCAACGCTGGCTCCGTGAAACCCCATCATCTCCAGAGTTAACTCTTCAAGATAACTGTGGTAAGTCAGAATTTGCTCTCCGATAACATAATAGAGTATTCCTTAATGTGTCGAAGAAGTGACAACGAAAGCCATCAAAAGATTGGAATATCGGATGGCATTGCGTAATTATACTAAATGTGTCTGTCCTTTTAAGTTTTAATCAAGAACCTCTTAAACACGTTATAAGTTACAGCATGTTTTAATTCCTACATGGTTACAGCATGGTTGCAGTTAGTAGTACAATGCAATAGGGGAAACAATGCGAAGAAAACCAATTCCAATATGTTCTGACTATTCGTAAATAAGTAACTTCCATATATTTCCTAAATCTAAATCATTTCTAAAATATCATCATAGAAATTGTTATTAAAGCCGTACAACAATTACAGCCGGCCATATCGATAAAACCTAGACAAGCATGCTCGTATCGCGTAATATAAGAGTGCGTGACCACAGCCTTTGTTGCTGTGTATAAGTGTTTTGAATATTTCAATGACCGAATACCCCATACTGAAGCGCCTGCTGATTGGTCAAAATCTACAGGTCAGGAGGCGGTTGTCTTGCATAATTAATAAGCGAATTTGCTCACATATAATAGACCATGGCGAAATAGAGTAACCCATATTCGGATCCCTTCCAAAATCTAATCGATTAGTACTTTTACCGAGGACCAGCCCTAATTCTTTTTTCATTGAAATCCGTCCATAACTTTTTGAGTTATCTTGTTAACAAACAAAGCAACCAAGAAACCAAGCAACCAACCAACCAACTAACCAACCAACACCGATGAAAACATAACCTCCTTATAGCGGAGGTAACAAACAGTAGAAAAGCTTTAAATGCACAATTTTGATATAAGCTAACGCGTGGGCTCTCAAGTTTGCATAAGATGTACAGTTCGTATCATCACATATTCTCTCCATCATTGACAAAGGCCATAAAAGAAAGGCTCTTTGGATGTTGAAATAGGGAAATCCCTAACAAAATAGACTAAAATAGGTGCTACATCAGTGTGCGTATTCGAAACCTTGTTCAATTGTTGAATATAAACGATAACAGTGTTTCGAATAGGGCCATAATTACGGTGCCAATGTGTACATATCCGAACTTGAAGCAAGTCATATTTGGACTGAAGGCTATAGACATATTTTCCGCATAAAACACCGTGTCCATGAGGAAATAGCTCGCAAAATATTTAATCTCTGTAGTCACTCATTTGTTTTCATTCGGCAAGTTTGAGTGAACGTGTCACGATCGAGGAGTTTTTTTTTACTTGTACATGCATTTCAATACATGGTTACAGCATGGTTGCAGCTAGTAGTACAATGCAATAGGGGAAACAATGCGAAGAAAACCAATTCCAATATGTTCTGACTATTCGTAAATAAGTAACTTCCATATATTTCCTAAATCTAAATCATTTCTAAAATATCATCATAGAAATTGTTATTAAAGCCGTACAACAATTACAGCCGGCCATATCGATAAAACCTAGACAAGCATGCTCGTATCGCGTAATATAAGAGTGCGTGACCACAGCCTTTGTTGCTGTGTATAAGTGTTTTGAATATTTCAATGACCGAATACCCCATACTGAAGCGCCTGCTGATTGGTCAAAATCTACAGGTCAGGAGGCGGTTGTCTTGCATAATTAATAAGCGAATTTGCTCACATATAATAGACCATGGCGAAATAGAGTAACCCATATTCGGATCCCTTCCAAAATCTAATCGATTAGTACTTTTACCGAGGACCAGCCCTAATTCTTTTTTCATTGAAATCCGTCCATAACTTTTTGAGTTATCTTGTTAACAAACAAAGCAACCAAGAAACCAAGCAACCAACCAACCAACTAACCAACCAACACCGATGAAAACATAACCTCCTTATAGCGGAGGTAACAAACAGTAGAAAAGCTTTAAATGCACAATTTTGATATAAGCTAACGCGTGGGCTCTCAAGTTTGCATAAGATGTACAGTTCGTATCATCACATATTCTCTCCATCATTGACAAAGGCCATAAAAGAAAGGCTCTTTGGATGTTGAAATAGGGAAATCCCTAACAAAATAGACTAAAATAGGTGCTACATCAGTGTGCGTATTCGAAACCTTGTTCAATTGTTGAATATAAACGATAACAGTGTTTCGAATAGGGCCATAATTACGGTGCCAATGTGTACATATCCGAACTTGAAGCAAGTCATATTTGGACTGAAGGCTATAGACATATTTTCCGCATAAAACACCGTGTCCATGAGGAAATAGCTCGCAAAATATTTAATCTCTGTAGTCACTCATTTGTTTTCATTCGGCAAGTTTGAGTGAACGTGTCACGATCGAGGAGTTTTTTTTTACTTGTACATGCATTTCAATACATGGTTACAGCATGGTTGCAGCTAGTAGTACAATGCAATAGGGGAAACAATGCGAAGAAAACCAATTCCAATATGTTCTGACTATTCGTAAATAAGTAACTTCCATATATTTCCTAAATCTAAATCATTTCTAAAATATCATCATAGAAATTGTTATTAAAGCCGTCATTCTTTTCATTAGATTAAACAGGTTTACATGGGTAATCTTTACATGTACATATTGCCTCATGATGATTTTAAAATAATTAAATCATTCATTGTGCTCTTAAGCAGGAAATACTGAAAACTTTACATTCATTTCATGTAAATTATAAC